AATCTAAGCATAATTTGGGGTTGATCCCAAAAGCAAAAGTGTAGAGCTTGGCAAGTTATGCAAAGTTTGTTTTTGGAGTTTTTCAAGTTGTTTAGAAAAATTTTGAGTAATTCAAAAAGGCGTAATTCGTTAAATTTCCCTATTCAAATTCAAAAGTTCATTTCAAAATCTAGACCGAATTAGGAGATGGTTATAGAAGCAAAGTTGTAGAACTTTCGATTTTGAACAACTTTTGTTTTTGGAGATTTTTGAGTTGTTATGAAAATTTGAGAGTAATTTGTGAATTTTGGCGTATGCCAATTTTGTAATTTCTGGAAGAAAGTGTTCACCGCCTAAGCTTACATTGCCGACGGACCTTCTTGGCGTTCCAGCGGCTGTCGTGGCCGTCCTTGATGTCGCTATTGCACGAAACGGCTCGTCGTGGCTTCCTTGAGCTTCGCTACCGCTTATAAGTACCAAGACGTCGTCATCATCGTTTTCTTCTTCCTTTGTTTTCACCACCGCCGTTGTCATCGCTCCAACAAGCTCACATCGTCTCCCCAAGATTGTTGCCATCTCGGTAAAGGCCGTCCCTAGTTCCATCTTTTCCTTGCGAATCCAAGCCGACTAACATTGGTCGCCTAAAATTGCCGAGAACTCATTGTCCACGTCTTTCTTCCTCGCATGGTCAAGAACTTCACCTTCATGGGCGTGTCATCGTGGCCATAGCCCTTCGGTGAGCCGTTGTCTGTAATCAGTGTACTTACGGCTTCGTTTCAATGCTGTAGTACTTAGTCAGTTGTTGTTTACTCATTTTGATCACTGCAGTCGCCGGTTCTCCCTCACCGACGATCTTTGCTCCGCATAGTTCACCGTAGTGGTCGGATAGTTCACCGTAGTGGTCGGATAGTTCACCGTAGTGGTCGGATAGTTCACCGTAGTGGTCGGAGAGTTCACCAAAGTGATCGGTGCTGGCGTGGTCACATCAGTTACGAATATTGTTTGGTTAGTTTGGTTTGTAACTGTACTGCGAAGGAAAATTGTATCCAATTTATTAATTTTTGCATCCATCATCGAGCATCATGTTTCATATTCCGCATCATGTTAAACATGGCAATGTTACTATGTGTAGTAAACGAAGGTGAACACGTGGTAGTTAATCAAGTTGCGGAGGAGGTTGATCTGTCTGTTGAGGTCGGATCGAAGACTTGTGAAACATCGCAGGAGCCGGACTTTTCCGTCAACGAAGGCAAGCCCCGGATGCATACAACCCTACCTTGTGTTTTACAAATTAATTTTGCTTTTGCTTTTCCGTTATCGCATTAAGTGATTAAGAGTTAAGTAAGAGCCTAATTGGTGCATTACCACCCTTGTTATTCCATATTTACCATATTACAGCTTTTGAACTCAGATATGCCTAGTTTTGCTTAGCTATCGTGAGAACGATGAAGTCGGTGACTACACCGCCACCCGCAAGTTTTAAATGGAACATTGGTTAATTATGTTAGCATGTGATATGGGAATGTGGAGTAATAAATCTAGACCAAAGCGGACTTTGGTGTGTGTGAGCCACAAGACATGGAGGTCTTGTGAGCGGGATCTTTTCGCTGTGGTCGATTAAGGCACGTCCGTTGTTGAATTGCATGAGGCGAGAATTTGTAGTACTAACCACATACCGTAAGCCTGAACTTGGCAATTTATTACGAGAATGGCTACTCACAAGACCGGGAGTGGAGAGATGGCGGAATAGCGTGTACCCACGTGGCAATGGGCTGGATTGGTGGAGTATTGTATTCTCGGGTGGCATGGACCCGTTATTGTTTTAGAGGATCTCGAGAATAGGTTGGTATATGTAGGTCGGGGACCCGCATATGTCGTGGTGGTCTGGAATCCCATTTGGGTTTATAATCGGTTCGAATCGTCGTTGCTCCTCGGTTATGGAGACTCAACTCACTGTTCATCATCATAGTAATTAATAACTGGAACTTGAGAATGGTTGATGAAGGTGTTGGATATGAAGTTTCATGATCTCATTACGGATCGTGTCATCTTTGTATATGATTTTATGAAGTTTAAACTGTTGAAACAAAGAATTTTGTCAAAGAGCTTTTACGCATAAAATAACTTTGATTATTGCTAAAACCATACCTTGAATCCTCGAGCCTGCATTCCCGAAAGTTATCGTTCTTATTTCGGTTAAGTCTTGTTGAGTACTTTTGTACTCGTGGTTCGTTGACCCTTGTTTGTGTGAGCCTCATGAGCAGATCTGTTTTGGATCGTCTTTGCATGATGATTGTACCTTGTGATGACGTTGAGAAGTAATTGTGTGGCCCTTTAAGGTGGCAGCCTCATTGTGTGTTTTGTATTATATTATAATGCCACTCCACTACTTTGGTTTGTATTAATATCGAACTTAGTTGTACGGTTTGAAACAAATGGTTTGTAAACTATGTTATTGTAAGTCTTCCGCTACTTTTTTACTCGATGTGTCTATTTGAATAAACTGTTGTAATACTACAATGACTCAGAACGTGATCCCGCCGAAATCATGGATGATTCGGGGTTCCCCGAGGACACCCGACAGACTTCTTAAGTTACCAGGAACATATGCATTGTTGTCAAAGGTCTTTGGACAGTGACAAATGTATGTGGGTCCTATAATTTAGGAGGTTCTGCCACACTGTCCCCCTTTCGGTTGCGCTACCGAGGTTGCCTGCCGGGGTAGTCTCCTCCGTGGAGACGCTTTCGACGTGTCCCTCGGAGGTTTCCGCCATGAAACATTCCTGGGAGGGATGATGGCTCCCCCTGCCAAAGTCAGAGACCGAGTTTGACCCCGGCCCCTCCGCGAGGAGGCCGTGGAGGGATTTCGTGACACTTTTGATCATCCCCATGAACTCGTTCGCGGGGGACGGGATCGTGCGCCGCGCCACAAGGTGGCTAACGGTTGCCGCGGCGTTGCGGAAACTGAACGGAAGCGTCGTCGGGGCGTTCCGTGCGGAGTGTTCCGGAGAGCGGGTGACGCGGCGCGGGTCCTCCCTGGATGATTGGGGTCCAAGGGTGACGCCGGACTGGTGCTCAAGCCTCCCGTGGTTGAAGCTGACAGAGAGGAGAGACTAGATGGCGGCGTGGGCCAGCGCCAACCCTCCTCCTACCGTGACGATGAAGTCCAGGTCATCAAAACGCACGTGTGCGCCTGGGACCCAGCTGATTGCGTGGCTAGCCATCCGAGGCCTGATTTGGAACGCGCAAAGGCCCCTACCTGGCACGCCAACTATCGGTGTTTCGAACAAACACCGGCTAGTAAATTTATAATTGTTGCACGTTAGGCCCGGATGGTGCACTAAAGGACACAAGGTTTATACTGGTTCGAGCTAAATGTCCCTACGTCCAGTCTGCTGCTGCTCGTGTTATCAGTGCCGAAAAAGGGTTCGTAGTAGGGGGTACAAACGGTCGAGAGAGGGAAAGGTCCCAAGTCTCTGATGAAATGGTCGAAAGGATGTCAAGAGCTTGGTCGCTGCCTGGCTGTATGCGTGATGTGTTGTGTGTCGAACTGATCTCCCTTTTGTGGGGTCTCCTTCCCTCCCTTTTATAGACCAAGGGGGAGCCGAGAGTTTACAGCCAGGACAAAGAGGAAAAAACCTACGGTAGTCGTCGCCCTTTGGAGGTGCCAAGCTTTCCTTTTCCCTTGAGCCTATTCCATAGTCATGGCAGATTATGGCAGGGATAGCGCGTCCGCTGACCCTAATAGGGCCATGCCCTGGCCTTGCTTCTGCGAGTAGTTATGTCCCGTCCTCCCCCAGCAGACGGTGCGGGGTGTCAGGGCGCCGAGCCGTGACTCTGTGGGGGTAGACGGGGAAATGACTATCGCCTGTCACTATAAATGATGTGAGTTCTACCTTGGATTGTAGCGGTTGTCGTATGCCTGTGTTAGCATCCGCGCCCGAGGGCTGAAGGCGGCGCTTACTACACTGTGGGACAAAAGTCGGTGCATACAACACTATTCGGGCACTGTTATGTCGGAAAGGGCTTAAAGAACCTGTCCCATCGTATCCTGACGGTACCTTCCTGGAGGCGCACAGGGCATGGTCCTCGACACTGCGCTTGACTCGAATGTCCTGTCGTACCATGTGCTCGTCTTTATGAAGGATCAGGGTGCAGTCGTCGGGCGAGGCGGAGCTAGCCCTCAGTCGTCGGGCGAGGTCGAGCCCGCCCTCGGGCGTCGGGCGAGGTGGAGTCTAGCCCTTAGCCGTCGGGCGAGGCGGAGCCCGCCTTTAGCCATCGGGCGAGGCAGAGCCTAGCCCTCGGACGTCGGACGAGGCAGAGCCAGCCCATAGCCATTGGGCGAGGTGGAGTCTAGCCCTCGGTGGTCGGGCGAGGTGGAACCAATCTTCCGTCGTTCGGGCAAGAAGCGCAGTAGTGCTCTTGTCTGACCGGAAGTGTCAGCGTTCGATGGTTATTAGTTCCACCTCATTGGGTACCCCGGTATTAGGTCCTGACAAACAGCATATTAATCGCATACCAGGGCTTGTTGCCTTAGAAAAGTCATATCTTTCTGGTATACAATGGATAAAGATGCTTTTTATGCGAAAGTTATAGCGCTAAATGAGATCTGCTTCTTTCAAGTTTTGAATTTATTTATTTAGATTTTTTTTAAAATGATATCATTTTTTAAAAAAAAAATCTAAACAACTCAAATAAAAAGTTGGGATTTTTGGATCAGGACTGAATGTGTCCTAGTTTTGATTTATACATTTTCGTCATTTTAAACCATAGCAGCTAACGCTGGTACAAACAAGGGGCAAATGGAAGCTTAATTCAAAACAATATCGTGAGGGCAAAATCACGAAGTTAGAAAAATAGAGTATTGCATTGTAAAGCAGGGCAGAAACACTAAATTCCCATAAAAAACCTGATGGCCGAAGGAATAGGAAAGATGAATCTATGCTAGTAGCATGTACAGAATCAGTGTGGTTGCCGTGCTTCTGGCGTTCCCAATGGAAAATTGGTTCCTTGTCTCTCCATCATTGCTTACTGTTCCGCTGATGAGTGATCGATGAGCTGTGTGTCTCCAGACTTGTATTAACATTTGGCTGTTTTAGTCTTTCATAGAAAAGAATGTAGGCCTGAGACCCAAGCACCTCCTCTAGAGAGGCATCTCGGACGTGCTCATCACTTACATAGAACCATGTGCTAGCAGCACCACTCACCGGCTGCTGATACCCAATCCTGCTCGCTCTCAGAAAGGTAATATAGTGTCCTCCATCCAATGTTTGTCCCTCGTGTACAATGACAGCAACAAGATGATATTTGTAGTCTTCATTTTCTGTATGCCTGAAGATGAGGAAATGACAATTACGAAAGATACAAAATTTATAAATGAAGTTAGAAAGGAACTTCTTTCAGATTCATATGAAAATTGTTTAATTAGTACTAAATGTTATTAGAAAAGAGAGTCATATTGAACTGAATAAACGTGTCCATACCAGGGGTGCATGAACTTCGTTATATCCAGTGTCTCCTCAAAGATCACAGGTTCCCCCAACTTCTGGGTCTTATCATGTGGTGCACGTGGATCATAGTTAAATCTCTTCAGCTGAATAATTAGTACAGGTGGTGCCTTGGTTATTTGACTGCATATCTTCTTTTCCACTTTCTGGGTTTGTTCCACTTGATGTTCATCTTCATTGTTGTCTGGTGCACTTATTTGTTTCTCATCAGGTGGATAGCTGGGTTGCGCCTTTAGGTGTGTTCCACTGTCTGACTGCTCAGTTTGGTTCAGAGAGGCATTTCCAGCAGCAGAAAAACAGTCTGTACAGCGCCAACCCCAGATATTCTCCCGGCATTGAAGTCCAAGCAGTCCTCAACTGATACTGGTTTCTTTGACGGTATCGCCAAACTGAGATCAAGCTTCTCTCCGTCCTTATATGTGGCGTGCCCACATGCTTTTGCAACGTAGATTTTTACCAACCTGGCCATAGAAGAGGGACTCGACCATGCCTGGTTCCTCATCATTCAAACCATCAAGCAAAGAGATGAGCATGATATTGCTGTCTTCCGTCACGCGCTGCTGGAATTTTGAATTGCGTGAGCACATAATATTGAAGAGGTTCTCTGGCACCAGCGGGATGCTGGCATCATTGTTGCCATAGGTTGTCTCCATGAAGAGGTTCTTCAGTTCTTGGCCAAGTGAACCTTTCAGAGGCAGAGCATCTGGTTCTAACATGCTCACACGCATGTTACCAAGTGCAAGGAGGCTCTGCAGAACTGCGTTGAAGTAGCACGTGTTCCCGAGATTCTTCATCCCTCTAACCACGCTCTGATGAGGCAAGGGTATGGCTCTGCCTGTTACAATGTTCTCACTCTGCACGCTGGCTACCCCTTCACCTGCATCTTCTGCATGCGTGTTTCGATCCACCACCACCATTTGTTTTTGTTCTTCCGTGTCCTCCTGATCACTGTGTTCTTCAGTCTGATGATCTATCCATGTGCCATCCACATCTGCACATTCCACATTAATCCCATCCTTTCCATGGACTCCATTCTCCACCTTACCATTCTGCACCTGTGCACCTGCAGATCCCTGCATCAAATCTGATCTAGATGTGTCTGCTTCCTCTTTTATCCCTATTTTTGCATCAGCTTGCTGCATCTCTTGCTTAGTCTGATCACTGCCACTTTCAGTATTGTCGTCCCGAGCTGTTCGTGCTCCAGGGGCATTGTTCTCATCAGGAACATCTTCCACTGGCCACAGTTTGCTCTTCTCAATCCCACAATGCCATAGCAATGCCCAGATGTCGGTAATGAACTCGCCTCCTGACTCGAGGGACTTCTTGTGTGCTGCTGCATTCCAACTAGGGGCAAGGTGTACTAGTAATTCTGCCCATACCTCGGACAGGATCACCCAACGGTCTTCTTCACTCTCGGAACTGATGAGCTGGTTTCCCAGAATGGCACCTTGTTGCAGAATATTCTCCCTTTCCATTACTTTGTCAGCATTCTGTGCTTGTTCTATTAATTTGTCATATTTGCTCTGTAGCGAGTCATGGTCTTTCAGTAATTGATCACGAGCATACTTAATGGTTTCTTGGAGTACTATCTTGGGCACGAGGAAGCTGTCAAGGATCATTTCAGGCTTTGATTATCTTGGGCACGAGTGAAGTATCCGTGTAACATAGGATTCCATAACTAGCATTCTGCATTCCTCAAAGAGCGTATCATCGCAAAGTAAAAACCATAAGCGAGACATAGTCCAATGATTATGTGCCATTGTCAACCCTAACCACTGAACTCCAGTAGCCAGGAGCTGGTTTGCCCTCTTTGATATTTGCAGCTGCTAAACTTACTGCGTCGCATGACTAGCGCCAGGCACCTCGGCCAGCTGCAATAAGGAGACATGATCAGTTGACAGGCAAAGGTTTCCAGCTTTAATAGCTCCATCGACACGCTCCAGACAACTGAACAATGTAAGCTACACGCTAAATCTATTTGCATCCTACTCGCAATGCTGCAATTTTTAGACTAATCATGACCTCGCATAGCTTCACGCATCAAAGTTCGTTGCTTTGCCAACACAGATACGACCGAGGAGGGGAGACGGGGTAGTCAGGGGCCAGGGCAGATTACCTCGCACTGGGAGACGAGGCTGGCCTCGGCGACCTCCCAGGCGGCTCGCCAGCTGGCGGCGTCGCGGAAGGCGAGGACGACGGGGCCGTCGCCGGAGGCCGGGGAGGGACGGCGCGCGGAGGAGAGGGAGCGGCGGGTCGAAGCGCACCACGGTGGCCGCCGCGGAATAATCTTCCGCCGAGTCGTCGGCACTGCCAGCGAAGGCCATCTCGGGAATCGCCGCTGGCGCTGGCGCCGGCGGCGGGAGGCGTTGTGAATGCTGGCTATGGTTTGGGAAGTCCCTTGGATTGGAAAAAAATTAGATGGGTGATGGGTCTAGGCTTGGGCCTGGGAGGTGGTAAGGGTTAGTTCGTTCTCTTTTGTTGGGCTCTACGGGGCCCTGGCGCCCTGCAGACTGGTTTCTTCATATCCAAAGTGCTTCAGGCGTTTTGTTTATTTCTTTGTTTTCAGAGCATCTCCAATAATTCCAAAAAAAATGATAAATCAAGGAATTTACCAAAAAGTCAAATTCATTAGAGAACCTTAAAGTTGTCTGCACGTGTCATATAGCCTCTAAGGTCTTAAAATGTAGTTTTAGATCCCTGAAATTAGTTTGGGTCCCATCGAGATCCAAACGTGTGTTTACTCAACCCGAAAAGCGACGTGGCATGTTGACTCGGCGCTTACACTAATATGGCGATAGGATCCACATGTCAGCGGCAAGACTCGATCTTAGAAAAATCATATATTTTTTATATGAACTCAGATGTAGATGATTTGTATAGGAAAATTATAGCCTCAACGAGACCTGTAACTTTCAAGTTTTGAGTTTTTTCATTTAAGATTGTTAAGATGCTCAAAAAATATTATTAAAATTCAACAATATATTAATCGTGTACCAAACTTGTGAAATGTCCTAATATGGCTAGAGGGGGTTGAATAGGCTATTAAAAAATTCTACAAAAACACTAGAGCAAAATAGTTAGACAACTAAATGGCACAAAGCGAGTTTTTCTCTAGCTCTACGAGGATTGCAAGTCACCTACCAATATGCTAGTGAATTATGATCTCTATGTCAAGCAAAAGCTATGTCACTACTTTACAACTAGTAAGCTAGCTTGCAAGAGAACTAATTACCACTAGCTACAACTAGAGCTCCACAACTAAACCTACACAAGTATACTACTAAAGTAAATACAAGAGGGGGTAGGAGTGATTATACCGAGCGGGGCAAGTGATGTGTCAATCAATATGAATACCAAATGAATCCCAAGAGACAAGTGACACAAGATTTTTCTCCTGATGTTTACTTGCTTGCTGGCAAGCTAGTCCCCATTGTGATGATCACTCAACTTGGAGGTTCACGCATTAATAGGCATCACACGCCTAACCCACAAAGGGTGCCGCACAACCAACACAAGATGAGGATGCTCAATATCACGAACAATCCACTAGAGTTGCTTTTGGTGTTCCACCAGAGAAAGCACAAGAACCCCTCACAACCAATCGATCAGAGGCTGGAAACAATCACCAATCCCGCTCAACGATCCTCCAAGCTCCAGGCCGGCTAGGTGACGGTAATCACCAAGAATAACAAGAGCTAGCTCAGCTCAATCCGCCCAACTAGTGCCACAAAATGAAAGAACTCGATGCAATGCACTAGAGGCTCTCCAATCCCACCTAAATATAGAAATCAAGTGTGCAAGTGAGCGGAGTATATGCTTTTGTGCTCACAAGGTTTGCTCAGCTGTTTGGGGGGTCCAAGAGAGTGGCCAAGACCGGCTACACCACATATTTATAGCCCCAAGCAAGCCACCCAACCGTTACTCAAACAGCAGCTTTCTATGGGAGAACCGGACAGCCGGTCGGTCCGATGCACCTAACTGTCGAATTTCAACGTCCAACTAGCCGTTGGCTGTCAGAGAGCACCGGACACTCCATCCGGTGGTTGAAGACGAATTATTTCCATGTTAGCAACTCTCGGGAAAAATAGGGCGGTGCACCGGACACCCTGTCCAGTGACCAATTTCACTGAGTCCCGAAGATCGACGCTCTCTGGAAAAATACGGCGGTAGCACCGGACAGGCAGTCGGGTGCCCTGTTCGGTGTACACCGGACGCGGCGGTGCCAGGCCAAAACTTAATTACGCGTACAGCCGGTCGGGACAGGTCCAGGCCACACCGGACAGCCAGTCCGGTGTGCCTAACACCTTGTCCGGTGCCACCCAGTTGGCAGCACTAAGAGCGCAACTTCGCCACTTTCTTCTGCTTTGCAAATGTGCTGACTCCTCAAGTGTTCCACCAACAAGTGCACGTGAGTTAGTATTTTTACAATCATTTTCAAAGGATTTTTCGTTGTGTACTAGGTCTATATGCAATGCATAGTATACAACACCTAGTGGCACTAGATGACCGAGTTGTCCAAATAAGCTCCTCTTTTAATAGTATGTTCATCTATCCTAAATGTGATCACACTCTCTATAGTGTCTTGATCACCAAAACAAAACCCCTATTTATACCTTTGTCTTGAGCTCCATAGGGTTTTGTTTTTCTCTTTCTTCCTTTTTAAGTCGGAGCGCTTGATCACCATCAAGATGTGGCCATCACCATCTTTTTCCATGGTTGCCAGCTAGCTCCACTACTTGGATTGAACCACCCTAACTTATCTACACACTTAGACATATGGTTAGTCCAATAGATTTCATCAATTAGCCAAAACCAAATTAGGGCTTTCAACTTATCACTTTAGAAAAATTATATCTTTCTTGTATGCGGTCGGATAAAGATACTTTATAAAATTATAGCTCTCGATGAGATCTACATATTCATAGGTTTAAATTTTGTTATTTAAGGTCATTAAGATGGTAAAAAGAATAATATAAAGTTTCAGCAGCATATTAATCGCATACCAGGGCTTGTTGCCTTAGAAAAAGTCATATCTTTCTGGTATACAACAGATAAAGATGCTTTTTATGCGAAAGTTATAGCGCTAAATGAGATCTGCTACTTTCAAGTTTTGAATTTATTTATTTGAATTTATTTAGATTTTTTTTTTTTAAATTGATATCATTTAAAAAAAAAATCTAAACAACTCAAATAAAAAGTTGGGATTTTTGGATCAGGACTGAATGTGTCCTAGTTTTGATTTCTACATTTTCGTCATTTTAAACCATAGCAGCTAACGCTGGTACAAACCAGGGGCAAATGGAAGCTTAATTCAAAACAAAACCGTGAGGGCAAAATCACAAAGTTAGAAAAATAGAGTATTGCATTGTAAAGCAGGGCAGAAACACTAAATTCCCATAAAAAAACCTGATGGCCGAAGGAATAGGAAAGATGAATCTATGCTAGTAGCATGCACAGAATCAGTGTGGTTGCTGTGCTTCTGGCGTTCCCAATGGAAAATTGGTTCCGAGTCTCTCCATCATTGCTTACTGTTCCTCTGATGAGTGATCGATGAGCTGTGTCTCCAGACTTGTATTAACATTTGGCTGTTTTAGTCTTTCATAGAAAAGAATGTAGGCCTGAGACCCAAGCACCTCCTCTAGAGAGGCATCTCGGACGTGCTCATCACTTACATAGAACCATGTGCTAGCAGCACCACTCACCGGCTGCTGATACCCAATCCTGCTCGCTCTCAGAAAGGTAATATAGTGTCCTCCATCCAATGTTTGTCCCTCGTGTACAATGACAGCAACAAGATGATATTTGTAGTCTTCATTTTCTGTATGCCTGAAGATGAGGAAATGACAATTACGAAAGATACAAAATTTATAAATGAAGTTAGAAAGGAACTTCTTTCAGATTCATATGAAAATTGTTTAATTAGTACTAAATGTTATTAGAAAAGAGAGTCATATTGAACTGAATAAACGTGTCCATACCAGGGGTGCATGAACTTCGTTATATCCAGTGTCTCCTCAAAGATCACAGGTTCCCCCAACTTCTGGGTCTTATCATGTGGTGCACGTGGATCATAGTTAAATCTCTTCAGCTGAATAATTAGTACAGGTGGTGCCTTGGTTATTTGACTGCATATCTTCTTTTCCACTTTCTGGGTTTGTTCCACTTGATGTTCATCTTCATTGTTGTCTGGTGCACTTATTTGTTTCTCATCAGGTGGATAGCTGGGTTGCGCCTTTAGGTGTGTTCCACTGTCTGACTGCTCAGTTTGGTTCGTAGAGGCATTTCCAGCAGCAGAAAAACAGTCTGTACAGCGCCAACCCCGGATATTCTCCCGGGCATTGAAGTCCAAGCAGTCCTCAACTGATACTGGTTTCTTTGACGGTATCGCCAAACTGAGATCAAGCTTCTCTCCGTCCTTATATGTGGCGTGCCCACATGCTTTGCAACGTAGATTTTTACCAACCTGGCCATAGAAGAGGGACTCGACCATGCCTGGTTCCTCATCATTCAAACCATCAAGCAAAGAGATGAGCATGATATTGCTGTCTTCCGTCACGCCGCGTTGGAATTTTGAATTGCGTGAGCACATAATATTGAAGAGGTTCTCTGGCACCAGCGGGATGCTGGCATCATTGTTGCCATAGGTTGTCTCCATGAAGAGGTTCTTCAGTTCTTGGCCAAGTGAACCTTTCAGAGGCAGAGCATCTGGTTCTAACATGCTCACACGCATGTTACCAAGTGCAAGGAGGCTCTGCAGAACTGCGTTGAAGTAGCACGTGTTCCCGAGATTCTTCATCCCTCTAACCACGCTCTGATGAGGCAAGGGTATGGCTCTGCCTGTTACAATGTTCTCACTCTGCACGCTGGCTACCCCTTCACCTGCATCTTCTGCATGCGTGTTTCGATCCACCACCACCATTTGTTTTTGTTCTTCCGTGTCCTCCTGATCACTGTGTTCTTCAGTCTGATGATCTATCCATGTGCCATCCACATCTGCACATTCCACATTAATCCCATCCTTTCCATGGACTCCATTCTCCACCTTACCATTCTGCACCTGTGCACCTGCAGATCCCTGCATCAAATCTGATCTAGATGTGTCTGCTTCCTCTTTTATCCCTATTTTTGCATCAGCTTGCTGCATCTCTTGCTTAGTCTGATCACTGCCACTTTCAGTATTGTCGTCCCGAGCTGTTCGTGCTCCAGGGGGCATTGTTCTCATCAGGAACATCTTCCACTGGCCACAGTTTGCTCTTCTCAATCCCACAATGCCATAGCAATGCCCAGATGTGGGTAATGAACTCGCCTCCTGACTCGAGGGACTTCTTGTGTGCTGCTGCATTCCAACTAGGGGCAAGGTGTACTAGTAATTCTGCCCATACCTCGGACAGGATCACCCAACGGTCTTCTTCACTCTCGGAACTGATGAGCTGGTTTCCCAGAATGGCACCTTGTTGCAGAATATTCTCCCTTTCCATTACTTTGTCAGCATTCTGTGCTTGTTCTATTAATTTGTCATATTTGCTCTGTAGCGAGTCATGGTCTTTCAGTAATTGATCACGAGCATACTTAATGGTTTCTTGGAGTACTATCTTGGGCACGAGGAAGCTGTCAGGGATCATTTCAGGCTTTGAAACAAGCAGATATGCACAGTACCGCGACAGGCTATTTGCAATGATGTAGCTTTCCTGAAGTTTACCACTTAATTTGTTTTCATCCATAAGATATGATTTGGAGGAGCAGCACGTAGTGAAGCATGACAAGAGATTGCAAAGGAACCCAGGTTTTGTTAGATCGACGCCATTGCCTTTAGCCAGCTCTATCTCACAAAGGCTGGTGGCGATGTGCCATACCAGAATGATGTGAGAGGATGTTGGCAGTTCAAAGCAGGCCCATCTGTATTTCTCCCTCTGTCCTTTCTCTGGCAGTGACTTAATCGTCTTGGCGAGGTAAGCCTTCGTAAGGTGCAGAGAGCGAAGCTTGTCCAGAATAACAGGCTTCAGGCAATCTGGAATACTGATGGCCTCACCTAGCTCTACCCCTTCATCCTTTTTTTCCACCATTCCGACTGTTAGAGTGTGCAGCAGATTCCAAAATCTTGGTTTGCCATCGTACGACTGCAAGAAGACATACTGGTCAATGACACCATGCCACCGTTCGTTAATAATTTTAGATTTGAAGAAGGATAGTATTATTCCCTCTGCAAACCTATTTCTCACACATTTACTCTTGCACCGTTGGTATAAGCATGTGAGGAGTAATCTTGTCCAGTCCGATAGCAAGTAGTTAACTATCTCCCATATCTCCTTGAACATCATGAAAAACATGAATGCCCAAGTGATACTGACGTCGACGTTGAATCCATGCACATGGTGGGTGGTATCACCCTCTGGGGGTTTAATCACCCTGCGGATGTCCACAGAAAGCCAGCATACCACAGCAAAGGTCACCACAGACAGCGCGAGGCTGATGAAAAGTGAAGGGAGACCACACCAGAACACCATCGGGTAGCGGGTGTTGAAGTAATCATTGAGGAAAGCAAGCTGAAGTTCCATGACCCTAAAGGTGCGCATGTCATTCTCCTCCTCAGCAATTCTTGCTCTGATCAGCTTTTGGTTAACGCGAATAGCGTCCTCGTGCAGCGTCACATCTTCAAGCTTGCACCGGAGCAACCTGTACAACGCAAAGGCAAGGGAGAGATCCTTCAAGTCGTCACCCTGACTACTACTGTCGTTGTGGCGTTGCAGAAGGTGGCCATCAGACTGCCAGATTTTGTCCAGTGTGGTGAGTGTATCTATGCTTGTGTTTCTTCTTCTCCTCCGTTGCTGCTTGCAAGGGTCTATACGGAGAACATACTGAGGCTTCTTCAGCGTGACACTTCGCTTTGTTTCTCCATAGACCAGGTATTTGTATCCTTGCATTGTCTGCGGGTCACAGTCTGCATCTCTAAAGTTGCCAGGTTCACGATCAGTTCGCATGTACTCTGAAATGAGGCTTGAACTGTGGCCATGCCACATGGACTGAACCGCTAGATTATGTGTCTGGAATCTGTAGAAGCTCCTCAGTACCTGCACGCCCAGAGGGACCAGAGAGGGAGCAAAAACTTGGAATCGCTGGATCCGTTCAGGAATCCTACTCCCAAGAGCTTGATTACAATTCTCCACTCAGTGAACCGTCGACCACGTCTGTCAGGAACACCATACCCAGAGATGAAATCGATGCTGTTGCGGAAATTGACAAGAACAATAGCCCACACTGGGAATAACTGATTCTTTATCCTTGCTGTTTTCATGGCTCCAAGGATGTATACCACTATGGAGTCAGACACAGTGTCCAGGATGTTAAAGATGGACATGATAATCGGGCTGTGAAAGCGGCGACGGAAGATGTCCATGATGGACATAGCAAGGAACAGAAATGTGACCGTCACCACCAGGAACTCAATGCGAAGCAAGATGTATGTTTTCTTATTCATCATGATGAATAAGGAGGATACCACAGATCCAGGACCCGCCATTATATTGGCTCGATCACTAGTCTTTCTGAATTGCTGTGCACGGCCTGCAAGACCAAGCTGTTTCCCAAACTGACTCAGAAACATATAGAGATAAATTAAACACACACACAACACACAGACAAAAGCGTGTAATGAGCTTTGTGCACATCATAAATCCACAAATTAAGGAAATATTCGTATATGATAAACAAACTTGATCCCCGAGATTAATTAGATCACAACATGCAGGTTTAGGTTGATACCGCCAACTCGATCTCTCCTAATTAATCATCATTTGTATGCAATATATATGATCATCCAAACCTACTACTACTACTACTACTAGTGAAATCAGTGGAAAACTGCACGCACCCCCCATCATATTTCATTGAGTCAATCATGTAGGCGTCCATGAAAGCTGAAACTATGCTTATAGTGCAAGGTAATCGTTTCATACCTGGATCCTCAGTAGGTAGCTGCTTTGCAGGGCGGGCCCAGGCCTAGGGCCACTAGGGCTATGGCCCCTAGTCGTGGCCCAAGTAGAGCCCAGAAATACCCCCTGTGAATTTGGCCCGACAGCCCAGCAAGCACCGATCGTTGTCTCTCGCCCGACGCGCTCCTCTCTGCGTTGCTCGCGAGTCGTAAGTTTCAGAGTCGCGCCGCTGCCCTTCTCGCCCTCTAGGTCGCGCCGTCAGCTCGTCACCACCGCTCGCAGCTGCCGGCCTGCCGCGCCTTCGCTCCGCTCCGCCAGACCGCCGCGGCGCGGCCCCCACTCCGGCCTCCGGTGCTGCCTGCACGGCCCCGCCGGCCGCCGACGCCGCCCTGCTCGATCTCTTGCGGCCTGCGCTCCTCCGTCGCCAGCCGACAGCCGGACGCCGCCCCCGCCCCCGCCGGCCCGCCCTGCTGCCCCGGCTCAGCGCCACTCTGGAGCAGGCGAGCAGCCTGTAGCCTGCAGCAGTGCGGGCGTGCAGGTCCGCCACTGGCAGCTTGGAGTTGGAGAGATCTGTGGACGAACGACGAGAACTGGTTGCCGATGCCAGACCGGCGTTTCTCTCTAGGGATGATGTGACCTCAGTTGATTGTTGCAAGTTTTTTCACTCTATTCGTCACATCAAATTTTTAACACATGCATGGAGTATTAAATATAGATAAAAAAATAACTAACTATATAGTTTAATTGTAAATTACGAGACGAATCTTTTGAGTCTACTTAGATCATAATTAGACAATAATTATCAAATACAAATAAAAATACTACAATATCAAATACTAATTTTTAATCTCAATCTAAACAAGTCCTAAATGTAAAGGAGCCCACGCACGTGGCTTATAACCACAAGTGCTAACAAACAGGAGGGCAAAAAGCTGTCAGCGCGTGACGCGAACTCAAACCGTGTCTACTGTTTCAAAAAAAAACTCAAACCGTGTCTACTTTTCAACACGTCACTTTGTGGTCCAGTTACCGCCTGGTCGATGATTTGTATTACCTCCGTCCGAAATTACAAGACGTTTGATTTTTTTAACCTAATCACTCGTCTGATTCAAAAAATTTATATAAATATAGTCAAATTTAAGACATTTGCCTTGTTCGCTTGGCTAATAAGTCATGACTGAAAGTACTGTTGGCTGATTTATTGTGAGAGAAAAATACTGTTTGTTGACTGAAAAAGTACGACTTATAAGCCAAACGAACAGGACAATTCTCGAAGAACTTTTATTAATAAAGCAAGCCACGACAAAAGAAATGATATTTTGCACAAATTTTTGAATGAGAAGAGTGGTCAAATTTGGTGTTAAAAAAATCAAACGTCTTATAGTTTAGGATACAGGGAGTAGCTTATGGTTAGGGTGTGTTTGGTACACTTTCTACTGTCAAACTGTTTTCAGCTTTTTTTTTATCAAACGGGTCTAGATAAAACAGCTTCTTCATAAAAAACTGTTTTTTCAACTCTTCTATAAAACTGATAAAACAACTTTCTCCCTAAAAGCTATTTTTCAGCTCCTCTTATATGCACGTATCTCTAGATGAAGCTATGTGAAGCTGAAAATATTAGCTTCTCATATCTTTCTCTCAGCTATCTACCTGAGAAGGTGTTTTACCAAATGTTTATGAAAACAGATTTAGCTTCACCGATGAAGCTATTTTGTGGAACTGAAACTAAAAAAAACCGTCAAGCTAAGATGTACCAAACAGGCCTTTAGTCTCCTATAGGCAGATGATAGTGCTATTAGACTTGTGGACCAGCATGCTCATGGAGTCGTGACTAGCACCTTCATTTAGACCTCTTAGGTAGCGTTTGGTTGGGAGTCAAGGCGGGGTGAAATGATCCCGTCTCTGATTTCTGGGACGGAACGACTCCATTTTTCTCGCTTCGTTGAAGAGGATGGAACCAACCCATTTTCTGTTTGGTCCGAGGACAAGCAAAAGCAGGATCACCCACTGGCAGGTGGGGCGTCCATTTGTCAGTTTGTTTTCTTTTGTTTGTTTCTTTGTCCCCAGATCAAAATTTCCGCACTGATCACGGCTTGAAATTCCGCCCACCCCACCCTCGCCCACCCACCCGCCTTCGCCGCCAACCGAGTCGGCCGCCACCGCCCCCATCTGCAGTCGGCCCTTTGCCTCGCTCGCCGCCGGGAGTCGGCCCGCCCCCCCCCATCCACGGGAGAGGGCCCGCTCACCGCTGCTCGCTCGCCTTACTCACCCCGTCGCCCGCCCGCCGCCACGAAGTCGCTCGCTCATCATTGAAGTCGCTCGCCACGGAGTTGCCCAAAGATTTAACGAGGCGGCCAAGACTCACCGGGGGGTGGTGGAACCCACGTTGGCCATCCTCTCTCCTCTCCCTTCTCCCCACGTCGTGCATGAGCCGGCGTCCTAGGTGGGACGGCTCCCGTCCGTCAAAACTTTGGGGTGGGGTTGCCTGGACCTTCAAGCGAATATTCCCATCTGAGGTGACTCTACCCCGAGTGACTCCCAACCAAACACGGGCTAGGTGGGATATCCCACTTGGGATGATCCCGTCCTCGCTACCAAACACACTGCGGTTACATTCCAATTGAAAATTTGGCAATTACATTGCGCCATGGGTAGACGGAGGCGCACCCAAGGGGAAAAGTAGATGACGTTCACCATGTGCTTGTTTTTGGAGCAGAAGATATCACTTTCCAAAAGCATCAGGGAAGCGGTTTGCGTTACACAACATAGATTGTGGGAAGGCGCTTTGCCTAACAAGTGAACTATTGTGGGAGCAGGGTCGGTGTTGTCGTTGTGCGTACTCATTGGTCGAAGGCCCTTGGCTGCCATGGAGTAGCTTTAGTGGTCCCTACAATGAGCCAAACAACAAATCCTTCTGGGTTGGGGATTTAGTGTGGAAAACTATTCTACCGCCAGAGACGAAGAACAATAAGTTTGGCAAGTGGTCACTAAGCTATGAAGGTCCAATAAAGGTGATCAAAGTGATATTTTGATAATACATATATGTTGGAGACATTGCAAGGTGATTGTCTCCCTAGAGTGATTAACGGGAGGTATCTGGAGAAATATTTCCCAAGTGTTTGGCAAGTGGTCACTAAGCTAGGAAGGTCCACTAAAGGTGATCAAAGTGATATATTTTGATAATACATATATGCTGGAGACGTTGCAAGGTGATTGTCTCCCTAGAGTGATTACCGGGAGGTATTTGAAGAAATATTTCCCAAATGTTTGGCAAGAAGCACTACTGCAGACGGGCTCTTTGCCGAGTGCTTAGGGCACTCGGCAAAGCTCCTATTGCACTCGGCAAAGGCTTTGCCGAGTGCCGCACTCGGCAAAGAGCAGTCGACAAAGAACCCGTCGGCAAATGTTTCTTTGCCGAGTGCCACATATCGGGCACTCGGTAAAGCCTTTGCCGAGTGTCACGTCAGCACTCGGCAAAAAAAAATCCGACGTCAACTCTGACGGCCTCTTTGCCGAGTGCCACCTCAGCGGCACTCGGCAAAGAATTTTTTCTTTTTTTGAAAATTCTTTGTCGAGTGCCATACTCTTGCACTCGGCAAAGAAATTTTTTCTTTTAAAAAAAAATCTTTGCCGAGTGCCATGGCTCTGGCACTCGGCAAAGCTGGGAAATTAGGTCTCTGCTTCCCAGCTTTGCCGAGTGCCATGGTCACGGCACTCGGCAAAGCCCTCTTTGCCGAGTGTGGCACTCGGCAAAGAGGGGGAAAATGCTATTTTTTGGTTTTTTGCTTTCCATCAGCACAAACAAAGAAATCACATATATATCAACACACAGCACAGGATATATCACATACACATCCATATTCCATCACATACACATCCATAACCCATCACATACACATCCACCATCCATAATACATCACATACAAATCCATTGTCCATAATCCATCACATACATTCGCATCATCCATGACAATATCCATCACAATATATATATGTCTCTAGTAGTAGTCCAACATAAGGCTAAGTCTAACACAAGTCTATGCAACATGAAAAGAAACAAATAAACAGTACCTACTGCTAGCCTCCCCACCCGGAGTGTGAACTGCCACCTTGAGAAGGGCCAGTTGGCCACCCGGCCTGTGAAGAAGGGCCACCTTGAGGAGTCGGGTTTGAACCCGCCGATTGTGGCTGCACAAATGAGAAGCGAATTCATGAGTATCTACAGGAGGGCCGCACAAGCTAAAGGAATAAACAACCATATATACTCACCGGAGTCCCTATAGGAGGAGGAGGAGCCACACCTGGAGCGAGCAGCGACTGGGGCATGACCACACCTAGCAAGGCCTGAAGGCTCGCCATGAAGCTGAACATGTCCTGCAGCCTCTGCGCCTCGGCCGCCCTCTGGGCTTGTACAGCCTCCATCTCCAGCCGATGGGCCTCCGCCTGGGCCGCCTGCTGGGCCTCCAACATCCGCAAGTCGGCCTGCAACATTCCACCCGCAATGTTTAAACAATGCAAAGGCAAGGTAGATGTGTAAAAGCAATGAATGGCGAATAAAACAGTACTAACCTGGAGTTCCGCCATCTAC